CTTTTAATACTTTATCAAAAAATCAAAATTCAGATATTAATCATATTATGCATTTTTAATAGAACTCGTTGTGGATAGCATATTGCCTTAAGGCAAGTTGCATCAAGTTTCAGATATATGTAAATAATCAAATTTATCAATATTATTAGCTATTTAGATGAAAGATTGAACTGTTTGTTTCGAAAATCTAAATTTCTCTTTTGCTGAAAATGATTTTCAATGGATGTCTTTAAAACATACTCATACTATCCGTAGCTGTATAAATTAATTTAATTTGTTTTCATTTCATTATTTTAAAAATAATTTCTAATAATATATTTTATCAAGTATGGACGTAAACTGTAATCAGTAACTTGTGCTCCTGGTGGCGTAGTGGATAGAGTGTTGGACTTGCATACTTGGGATATCTGTAATCAGTAGCTACCTACGAAACACCGCAGTCCGTATACATAGATGTTGGATATAGATACCGATTAGAATCACTTAAGCATGTGGGAAAATTCTAAAGTACGATGATTTTTTATAATTCAACCGTAGGTCTATAATATGGGGTATAACCGCATACCCCTGAAATAATTTAAGAATACTTCCAAAATAATATTTTATCACAAAATCAAAATTCAGATATTATTCATACTATAAATTTTTTACAAAACTAGTTGTAAGTAGCATTTTGTTTTAAGGCAAGTTGCATGAACTTTTTTTCTTTCTTTGTGGATATGTATAAATAGTTTATCAACACGAATTAGAATTAGCTATTTAGAAAAAAGGTTCAAGCGATTATTCTGTAAATCTAAATTTCTCTTTTGTTAAATTTTTTTTCAATGGATATCTTTGAAACATACGCATAATATCCGTAAGTTTATTTCTTAAATGCCATTGAAGTAGTCCATACTTGATAAAAAAAAAATTATTGAGTAGGGACGTAAACTGTAATCAGTAGCTACCGGCAAATCGTATACATAGATGTTCGTCATAGATTCTGATTGGAATAGCTCGAACACGTAGAAATAATCAAGGAAATACGTGAAAATAATCGAGTTTATCAACAATGATTAGAATTAGTTATAGAAAAGAAGTTCAACTGTTTATTTCAAAAATAACAATTTTGCTTTCATTAAAATAATTTTTCATTGACATCTTTGAAGCATATACTTACATTATCTGTTACTGTATATATTAATTTAATTTGTTTAATAATACTACCTTTAGAAATAGTTTGTAAAATAAAAAAAATAATTTATTGAGTATGAACGTGAACTGTAATCAGTAGCTACCTATGAAACACTACAGACCGTATATATTGATGTTTGACATAGATTCTGATTAGAATAGCTTAAATACGTGACGAAATTCCAAAGTTTGATGATTTTTTATCGTAGGCCTATAATATTTAAGTATGTTATTTCAGACTACGAAATCTATCGTTCTATAAAGATTCATGAAAATCGTTTAAAAAAATTTCAACATTTATTTATTAAAAAACGGCCCCTCTTCAATCTTTATCAAAAACCTAGTAATTAATCATCACGATTTCCAACTGGAACTGTTTTTAAGTTTTTTAAATCGGTTCTGAATTTTTGGCTAAAACGTTGATATAGCATGATAATACATATATTTCAACGGCTAGATCGATCGTTTTGAAAAAAAAATAGGAAAACTCTGTCAAAAAATCAATTTTTGGTATACACTCACATACACAAACAAACTTTTTAGAGTTTTGCTGTCAACCCGTTCAGAATGACTTGAAACTTTAAGAAATTAAAACAAAATATACCGAATTTTTTAGTGCATATAATGCAAATTCATTGAAAACAATGTATATGTCGAGTTTTTAATTTATTACAGAAAAACTTCGTTATTGCATGAAATTTAACTTTTACTAATTCAGTCTTTAAAATAACCCTCATTTTACAAAAGCAACATGAAGTAATTCTATTCCCAAATAACGATAAACTCGATCCTTATGCAAATTTGTAAATATTAAACTTTAGATTCCACGTGAATAGATTCAGTTATGCGAGAATGAGAATAACTTTACATTTAAACGCTCGAATTTTGGAATTGCTTTTTCCAGCTCCGGTATATACAGGTGTTTTGTTGACGAACTTTGTTTGCTCCGGGTGGCTCCGGGTATCTAGGGATGAAGTTTAGTACATTTTCTGTTGCCATACAAACTCTGATTTAGTTTACCTGAACTGCCGAAGAACTTATGGCAAAATCATAACTTTAGGCCGATCAATAAGAGAATAAGTTGCAGTAGTAACACAAAATACATTTACAAATACTGGCTTTTCTAATTCATCCGAGAATTGGCTCCTTATTCGGAGATACATGATGCATGAGCATAAATTTTAAAAAACAAAAATTATTATACATGAGTCCATTATACCGTGACATAAATTAAACCGCTTGATAATTTTCGTTTCGGATATAATCTTCTTTTCCATCGTGCGATGTTATCTATTATCCAAACAAGGTTGTTTATATCCTCTGAAGAGAAAAAACACGACGTTGAAAATTTAATAAGACCATGCCATTGTTCGCTTAACAAGGACTCCCCGTTAAAGTTCAAAACGCAAATTCGCCTCAATTAACGATTCTTTACGAGCAAAGTGCGTGTCCGACCAGGGAAATTTATAATTTATATTCTCAGAATATGATAAAAAAGCATTTAGAATGTACACCGCGAATGAAATAACCCGACGTTTATATTTTGACTACATATTGCTCATTTGCAGCATGTTGGAAGTGTGTCGCAATACCCGGCGGGAGATTTTTAATTACAAAGATGAAAGATATATTTTATTTGAATTTAGAAATAATTCATGTGTATTTCTACACTAATAAAAATATATAATTCCCTACGTTTCGTCTTAGTTCTACATATGAATTTTAGGAAAAATCATAACGCTATAACTAATTATATATTCAGTGGAAAAAAATATCAACTGTCTTGATTTCCTCAATTCAATGGGTTAATTTCAAGCTTTTTCAAGTCGTTAGAAGACATTCTGAATTGTTTGCGATCAAAATTGGATAACGTATATGTTGGTGCATGTGTGTGTGAGCCAAAATTTGACCTGCAGGTTATGTTGTCCTAAAAAATTCTGTACCGATTTTTAAATCCCATTTTAATCTAGTTGAATATGTTATTTATTATATATTATACCATATATTATATATTATTACATGAAATAATTCAGATACTATATACTTCAGACTGTATCCATATTATACCATTTTTATTCACCTCGTTGAGGATTATGCGAAAATCTTTTTGGCAACAGAAGCCTTCGACTATAGTGCCATTATATTTTATTGAACTTACTATTCTGCACGTTATGATATTTGCATTTCGTTATATTTCGAATATTTGGATTAATGTGCCCACATAACAGCTATGCCACTTAACTCCGAAGCTCAGAAACGCTGAATACATAATGAATAGGCGATATAATCGCTCACTACTCCAAGGTATATATACTAAAAAATGTTTTTGACATGGAAAATGTTAGTTTTGTTTAATTGAGTTCTTGTTTTGATTAAAAAAATATTTTGGTAAAATGTTTTTTTATATTAAACTGTTGTTATATTTACGTATTAGATTATTATTTAATCATTTAACACATAAGTATGTAGATTATATTTAAATTAAACACTATTTTTTATAAATTTAACTAAATGTTTTGAATAAAGTTTTTTGTACCGATTCAAATTCCGCGCGCAACGTGTGTTCATCGATTATCGATTTTTTATGTCGTTTGCATTGGTACACATGTTGCTAACTTTATTACGGTTCAATTCGTTTGGTTTTGACAGATAAAATGGTGGACGTTTTGTGATTTTCTGTTATTAAAAATAATTGATTTTATCTGTGTTTGAAATATAAATATAAGTGCTTTAAAATGTTTGATATTATATCAGTGGTGCACAATGAATCAGCTAAAAATAAAAAAAGGATTGCGAGTAACGTAAGTACATACCTTCATTATTTTCGTTTTTCAATACAATAAAAATTACATTCAAAGAATTTGCAAAATTAATTTTTGTAACAATAGTGGTTTATTTTCTTTACAAATCAAATCTGCAAGTGCCAATTTCTATTTACTAATTAATAATTGAATTAACCGATTATGATTCTCTTAATTTCTGACTGTACTACAAAAGCTGCATAGAACAGTATTTTTTTAATCGTATTTTATTTTCAAATAAGTTTAACTATATAATACAATTAAACATAAAAGTACATTAAAGAAACATTCATGATTTTATATTTTTGATTCTGAGTTTCAACTTCATTAAGTTCAACTATCGATTTTTGTAGTTTTGTTGGTACCCTTGTCAGTTAGTGCAACGTTAGTGCACTTTCAGTTAGTTTTGTTTCGACAGTTAATAAGATGGACGTGTTTTGTGCTCTAAGATTTTTTATTATTAAAAAAAATCTAATTTGCATTAACTTTTATATAAAAGATGAAACCAAGTGCTTTAATAACTTTACATTATTTATAGTTACGTATATTGAATTTGCTCCAAGGAAGAAAAATGTTTACAAGATATACAAGTTACACAAACGTCCACCATTTGCATTTTTTATGGCAACAAAGCGCACGTTCAAATAATAATTGGTAAGTTTACTTTTTGTTAAAATAAAAATATATACCATTAAAATTTATGAGTTATATATATATATATATATTTGTAAAATGAGTAAAAATTTATGTGCAGAGTTTGTCCCTTTCCATTAAAGTAAAAATCAATATTTCTTATTCCTGATGGTCAGTCCTTGCACTAATTAATTTAAATATGGAGGTTTTAAATATTTTTAAAAAAAATGGTAATATAACAAAACATTAAAATATAAAATACAACTATCATTACATATTTTCGATACAAGTTTGGAATGCAGGAGGATTTATGTTTTCATTTCAAATTCAAATATTTGCAGTAATATGAAACCTGTTGAGTCTTTTGATAAATTCAAGAATTGCCTTGAGACAATGTTTTCGGTTTCATCTAACGAGGTCGAAGGATATAGATATCCATTTTCACTCAGAAAAATAACACAAATTATTGATTGTAAGGTCAGAAATATATTGCTAATTCAAATTGACTCATTTAGGTTATCTCTGGTGTGATAAACCATGGGAAAACCCTTTAACATCTTTAATCAAAGCTGGATTTGGAAAGCAGCAGAATGTGAAATCAGCAAGAACAGCTCAAAATAATGAAGACTGTATGTTGATACATATTTTATCAAATCAACTCCACAACCGACTTTTCATGAAAAATTCCGAGGACAATAGATGAAAAGGACCTATGAACCCGCCGACATGAATGTGTTACCTAAGGTGTCTTTTCATAAAGACAGAGATTTCTGCTTCCAATAATCAAAACTATATGTTGGTGCATATTTTGTTAACCTCGATATACGTGAAATATCATGAAAATCAACTCCACAACCGACTTTTGATGAAAAATTCCGAAGACCAAAAATGAAAAGGACCTATGAACCTGCCGACATGAATGTGTTAACCAAGAAACCTTTTCATAGACAGAAATTTCTTACCTTTACTATGTAACCCACATACACACTTATATATTATTCATAAAACTTTTTATATATTCATCGTCTACCACTTTGTCTCATAAAACAGAATTCATTACCTCGTACAAGTTCACCTTACTACGTAGTAATGTCTTAATCTTGTCTAAGCCACGTGGGTTGTTCTAAATATATTAACTTTGGATACATTGAAGCGCCGAAGTCTCGGCTGGGAATGAACAAATGAGCAAAATGAGTAAAACGAGCAAATGGGAATGCAAATTTAAACGAACACATTACTTATGCGCGAGCATAATGAATTTTTATAGCCGAAAGGATTACAGACTTTACTAATGACTGAGGTTCGCACACGACAAGTCTCTAGAATTAAATCCTCTGTGATACACAGTAAACCCATTTGTTTCCAAGTAAATTAAGGTTTTGTCAATTCTATATATAGATTCTTCAGAAAATTAGAGTTAAACTTTGTACGAAGTATATAGATAGGCATTAAGTCCATCTATAAATCTTTTGCCAAGTTTAAGTACACTTTTCTGTATGAATATATAAATATAAATATATATATATATATATATATATATATATATATATAAATTGGCTTTGCAAAAGGTTAATATATCATTTGGGTGTAGATTTTCATTACAACATATTAAAATAAATGATATAGAAATTAATTCACTAAAAGTTTAACCCTCCTTATGTTGATAAGTTTGAATGCATCTCTAATTAGTTAATGATTATTCCAAAAACAAAAATGAATTTTATACGTTTCTCGGTTACATAAATATTCTACTAAAATTTTCTTGCCAATCTTCAATCAACCTTTTCTTGTTTAATTTCTGAATTTATATGAAGCCCTTTTTATATCTAATTGAGTTTTACTTTCCATTTGTCAATTATTTTTGATACAGTTTTCTGATTCTCCAAATCATTTAATTTCTTGGGTTCTTGATCTTCAATCAACTGTCTTTTTAAATTGAATTTCGGTTTTCTATTCAATTTTAAATGGTTTCTGATATAGTTTATCTAATTGATTAGAATGTTTTTAATCTTTTGCTAACGGTCACCAAATCAACTGCTTGATTTTCAAACTTTGATGGGGAAAAGCCATTATTTATCCTTAATTTAGATTTGTCCTTTGTTGCAAATTGTTTCTAGTACATTATATTATTTAATTCATTTAAAATGTTTACTTCTTTTGCCAATAGTCAATTACCATAATTGTTTATCTTTGGTATTTTGAACACCAAACATTTCATACTACCCATTCGAAATTTGTTATGGAAAAAATAAATATTTTGCAATTTTGTTATGGATTTTGTTATGGGTTTTCATAATTTGTTATGAACAAAATAATATTTTGCAATTTTGATTTCCAAGTTGAAACACTTATTTATCAGTAGGCATTCGTTTTCGGATATTAGGATAATGTTAAAAGATTTTCACAATCATTATCGATGAGCATTTGAGCTTAATAATTATGATTCCATAATAACTTTATCATATGTTTTCTTTCTCCAGATCATAATATTCTTAATTTTTTCACCCAAATACATTTCAACCACCCGAGGCACTCCTATAGTTGGCTTTCAATATTGACTTCCCAAATATTGACAAAACATCATGACGCCTGTGTGTTCAATTATAAAATTAGACGAAATTAGAAACGCGAGACACCAGAATATGAAAATACACAAAGACTGTATCCGACTCAGAAATTTGTCTGTAAGAAGTATATGCAAACAAAATTGGAAAGAAAAACAGAGTTTTATATATCAAATTGACATTTCTTGAATTAGATTTTAGCAAAGCTTTCCATTGGGGCGATTTGTGTATCATTACCGGTTTGGGGAGCTCTTGAGATCGCTTTTGCTTATTTTTGGAAAAGATGTTTAATTTTCACGCAAGACTTACAGGGATCCTTTGAGATGGATTTATTTAACCGACTTTTATCATGTAAATTAGGCAAGAGGCATTTGTTGTGCGTAAATAATTTAAACGACATTATTCGGATTGGGATAATTCCAAGATTTTTGATTGGAGCAGAAATCAACAATTTATTCAAAAAATGCTTATAGGCTTTGATAGAGATCAATTATTGTTGCCATGAAAAAGCAAATTGATTTTATAAATAATATATATATATATAATAAATATACACACACATATATATATATATATATATATATATATATATAATTTATTATAAGCAATACCATTTAATAATTGTAAAAATACTGTTTGTTAACTATATATGTAAATATATACGATAATTTATAGTGCAATGTATTTTTAAAAAACTGTATACAAATACAAAAAATGCATAAATATATGATTTATAAATTGTTGGCTTGCCTGGAATATGAGAGCTTTTACACCTGAGCTTTTGTTTCTATTTTTTGCATCGCTCATTCATCATTCACAAGCTGATGTATATGCCAACTTGATGGTTGAATTTTTGTATTAAATTATCCGCAGAAAAAACTCAGTTTTATTTTGCAAATTGGATTTCTGCACATTATAATGCTTTGCAAATATTTGTTGTGGGGGATGTTCTTCATGAATATTACGAGTGGAGATAATAATTCTGACATTTATCTTCTTGGGAAATATATACATACTTATCTCACTTAAATGGAAACACACAAGATATATATATATATATATATATATATATATAAATATATATATATACAGGGTGTCCTAGAACTCTCTAACAACTCTCTCAGGTTGTCTCAGGCAAAATTGTGACCATTGGATCCAAAATTGTAAATAATATTTCTAGAGACACAGTAAAAAATAATGACACATTTACCCCAAGTTTTTAAGAATGAAAACTTTTTGTTGTATGAATTGAAAATTTTCAAAATTCATCGTTTTTGAGAAGCCCTCCTTAAAAATGCACTAATGTGTCATGACAAGTTCTATCAAAAGTTGGCGCATTTGATCAGAATTGTAAAATGGTAAAATACTTGATAATTTTATATTAAAAAAATATAACTTGATTTTTGCCATCCCACCACAATTCAATTTTCTTCAAACATTTTAAATTCATTTTGTTTCCAATACATCAGTCCCATAGAACATATTTTTATATTAAATATTACCCCGAGGACTTATGGTAATTTATGCTAGAAATTCGTGCCAAATGAGTAATTTCATTCTACAATATTTCATTCAGAAATGTCTTAGTAAATAACCGCAACCGTTTTCTAAATTGCCCCTGTGAAATATACCATCTGTTGCCAAGACGAGCTGTAATCATTTTCTAGCCTGTTACTAAGAAAGGATGTCTGAAATCGAAACTCAATTATTCAGTAGACCCACAAAATGAGATAACGTGTGCAATATCTATAATGAATTTCGGCCTTATAATACACCTAAGACGTGGGATAATCTCTTATATGAAAACTTGATATGACATGGATCGATGGAGGATGGATTCTATACAAGACAAATGCTGGACGTTGATCCCACTTAATCTTTTTTGGTTTGGCAATTAAATTTATCCCAACTAAAAAATATAAAACAAATTTAATTAATTTTTGTATTTCATTTTGATGTGTATGTGTAATTTGTAAACTCTATTTCTAATATCCAATAATTTTAAACTAACTAAATGGTTCAATATTAACCACTTGGTTCAAAATATATTCAAATGATACTGGATTCGTTATATTTCCATATTGGTTTGGAAGTTTGAAAGCAAAGTACAGACCCATGCTTTTGCTCAACACAACGAGCTTGAAAGCTTTGCCGTAGATGGAGACGCTAAATATTCTGAAAATAAAATTATTTTATTTAAGGTTACTGATGAGAGTTCTGGCCTTGCAATCACAAGGTTTCAGAATCAATTCTCCATCTCGGAGAGCCTAATTTGGAGTTGTATTTATACTAATTTGTTCATAAAAATATTGATTTAAATATGATTTTTTTCGGTGTATTGGGTGCACAATAAATAACACCATTAGAACAGAAAAATCGTAGAGCTACTTCCAATTATATTATTAGTCCTAAGAGAGATTTTCAAAAATAGTGTCCTGGTAATATTTTATTTTTCTGATTTAATTATTTCACAGATAATTTTTTCACACTTATGCAATTTCGTCTTATATTTATTTCGATCAAACTGATACTATATCAGTTACAAAGTTTTCTTATTAATCAAAAATTTTATTCAATAAAAATTATCCTGATATGAATCCACATGGCTTGGTAAGTACATGATGTAATTTAAATTTAAACTACTGGGGTGCATGGCATTTCTTTCACTTTCTTTACTAGATCTCCAAAACCGCTAGACCTACCTTCAAGAAAATTTGATCAGTTCTTTATCTTGTTAATACAAGTAAAATGTTTTTTGAATTATTCAAATCCGACGCTGAGTTACCGTTTTTGGCGCTTTTTGCCCCATATCTTTGGAACGGCTAGACCTGCCTTCGCCAAAAACTAATCAGCACGTCTTCTTATCAATACAAATCGAACGTTTTTTGAATTATTCAAATCGCTTCATCCGTGTTCCCGAAATCGACGACGAAAATTTGTATCCGAACACACATACACACACACATACATACATTTTCTTTAAGGTATGTCAAAATATTCAGAAACCTCTAAAACGTAAAGATATATAAACATTTTCATTTTCGATTTTTTTGCGATTACTACAA